ATACCGCCAGAGACAGACAAACACAGACAAACACAGACAAACACAGACAAACACAGACAAACACAGACAAACACAGACAAACACAGACAAACACAAAAAACAAGACAGAGACAGACAGAGACAGAACGGCAGAACAATAAGTCAGCACGACAAGGTCTTCGGCTCTTCTTGCTTCCATTAGAGAAGCTGCTGGCATGGAAAGGGACGGTAGTTGACTGCACACAACTGCTGTGTGCAGTCAAAAGTTCTCAAAACATCTGCTGTGCTGAGTCAAAACAACCTGGCATTGATGACACCTTGTGGGTGGACGGTACAGCCCTGTAGCTGTTGATAGGAAGTATTAGGAACAGATCACACCAGTTTGTATCCTAAAGAGTCCAGGGACAATAGGGGCTAAGTTGGCCAACTCCTTTGACCAGAAAATGAAAAAGAAAAAACGCCTGGCAATACCACTCTCTGAACTTCAGGTCAGGAACACAGGCTACTCTGTTACATGCCTGCTGTGAAATGAATACTTTCTGACAGCATTTCAGTCCCAACCCCCTTACAGTCTGTGCTTAGGGCTGTCTTGCTGACAGTATTGCCTTACAGAGGCCATGCTAATCTTCTCTGAACCCTTCCAATTTTAAACCGCTAGTACACGGCCCCAGCCTTGCAGAAAGYTTTTGTCGCCACAAGCAAAACTCGGAGGATCTACGCCGCCAGGCCCGCCATTGGAAAAAAAATAATCGGCAGCCTCCGAAGTGGTGCGGGTTTCATGCTGACACCCGCGGGCCAATATGTGGTGTACTGGTGCGTTAACAGACGTCCCGAAGGGCACACACCACACACTTTCCATACATGAGTACCCATGACGCACAAAAAAAGAGTAAACGAATAAGATCAAAATCATCCAAAGTCCACCGGAAACAACGCTTGCACAGGCCCTCCCACCCGAACATGGTCAGAAGCTACACTGATAACCCATCTCCGAGTGAGAATGTTTCGGTCCAAGCACTCAACGGGTTAGTTTTGACCTGCCCTTATCCACTACGCTCAAAGAAGACCGCACACACGAAACACACACACACACACACACATGCACCAAACTGCCCACGCACACTAATGGATGGGCAGCACTACAACCACGGGGATCTGTCGTGCATGGAGTTGAATGGGGACCCAAAAAAAAAAGATATATGGCATCTGGACTTTTCACGCCGACTCATCAGCAACTGAGAATGTGCTAGAGCACATAGAGCTTCCGGGGGTGCACCATCGTGCCTGGTAAATGGTTACTTTGTGCTGTTGCCGCTAGGCGGCTCATCACGGCGACTGAGAACGGAGAGCCGTCTGATTTTCAATACTGCTGACATAGATGTTACCAGTGTTACCGGCCGGAGCATTCAGGCTTTCGGCTGAACACAAGAGGGGGGAGGGG